TGACCTTTTGCATTTAGTCTCTTGGCATCCTCCTGTAGCCTTTTGGCATCCTCATGTATGTGTATATATGTTGGCTTTGGCCTCCTAATAATACAAGTTGCTGTTCCTAACAGTTATTTGAATGTTTATTAATTCATGATCCAGGCCATTCACTGGAATTGGAGGATAGGACTACATTAGGTTTGAGGGTCGGCTTTTTAAGCATACCTGCAGTAGACCGGTACAATCTCATGACTTCTTATATATGGCTACTTAAGTATGAATTTTCTTCTTAATTCCAGTGTAGATATATTTGACATCCAAATTTTTGCTGCATATGGTTGTATTTGGTTAACAGATGACTCCAAAATGGAGTGAGTGCCCTTCAAATAGTCACAGAGAACTATCTTTGCATGAAAATGGTGAGTGCAGTCTATCCTTAACAGAACACCCTTTTTGTCCGCAAGTTATGTTAGTTAACTGGCTATAACAGAATGTGCTCAATATCTGCAGAAAATAAGGATGGCAATGTTTATAAAAGGAGAAAGATGGATAAAGATTCAAATTCCCTTGTAGCAGATGAAGAAGTTAAAGAACTGACAATTCAAAGTTGCACTACCTCTGAAGATCACTCTTCACTACTGCTCCCTGTTATGAATCCCTCATATCCAGTATTTTCAAATTTGATGGCAGGTAAGATAGACCCTGTCGTAGAGCTTGAAGAGCCTGCTGGAGTTTCATTGGAGCCAAATTCTGGTGTGAACGAAAGATGTTCAGTGTCAAGTATGCCACCATCTTCAGTGATACTAGACAAAAGGGATGCTTCTGTATGGTCCTCATCAAATATACGCCCTACAGAACCGATAAGGGAGCTCACATCAGCAAGGGATCTATGCATTGCTATACTGAGAAAAGATGGACTCATAACTGAGTCACAAACTAGAATCATTTTAGAGGAATCCACTGATTGTAATGCCAACCACTTGGTGACATGCAATACTTGTGGAAGCTTGGATGTTCCACTAAAGATGCTTATATGTGATTCTTGTGAAGCAGCATTCCATTTGCCTTGTTGCATCCCTTGTATTAAGGTGGTACCAGCTGGTGAATGGTATTGTCAGCCATGCTTGAAGAAGAAACCTAAGAGTCTTTATGGTCAACTGTTAGAGGGCAAGGTCAAGTCTTCCGGGAATATGGACCAAAGGCCTCATGGCATGAGTCATATAGAGTACATGTTCAACGATGCTGAATCATACGTTACTGGGGTTCGACTTGGTGGAGATTTCCAAGCTGAAGTGCCAGAATGGTCTGGTCCCATTTCCAGGTGTGTTGACACAATTGCTTGTAGTTCTAACATTTCAATTGGTTAACTCTGAGAAAACACATTTGCATTGGTTAACTCCGAGAAAACACATTTGCATTAGTTATAGGAATAGTACCATGTAATTTTGGTGGAGTAAACATAAATTTCTGAAGATAGCTAATTAAATGACTATCCTTTTTTTTTGCATTCACCATAATCTTTATAAGATATGCTCTTCCTAATCCTTGGATCAAATTCATAGCTAAATCATCATCTTAGATACTAATCAAACTTTTTAAAGTGTGCATGTGCCCAAGTGTATTCTAAATTCTAAACTCAGAAGAACATCGTTGGGGCGTTACCCTTTTAGGGACGTGCCATATCGGAACCAGGGTGTGGTGTTAAGTGATAAGTGAGCAAGGATCAGGTCATTGATCCTTAGTGGCGCTATATCGACGCCCGGGTGTAGTGAAAAATGAGCAAGGGTCTTCGCATTTGACTCGTTGAGTGCGAAGGGTAAGGAAGCTAGCCGAGCCAAGTAGGATCCGCTTAGGTAGTTGGAATGTAGGGTCCGGTAAGTTACGGGAGTTAGTTGATACATCGGTTAGGAGACGTGTTGATATCCTATGCGTCCAAGAAACCAAATGAAAGGGACATAAGGCGAAGGAGGTGGAGGACACTGGCTACAAGCTGTTGTACACGGGAACAACTACAAATAGAAATGGAGTAGGCATCTTTATCAACAAGAGCCTTAAGTATGGAGTGGTAGATGCAGGAGGCAAGGGACTGATCAAGAGGCAAGGGGATTGGACTATCCTAGTCAAGCTGGTCGTTGGGGACTTAGTTCTCAGTGCTACCAGCGTGTATGCCCTGCAAATAGGCCACATTGAGAGCATCGATAGGGAGTTCTAGGAAGGCCTGGACATGGTTAGCAGTGTACCTATTGGCGACAAGCTCTTCATAAGAGGAGACCTCACTGGCCACATCGGTATGTTAACACATGTTTTGAAGGGTGCATGATGGCTTTGGTTATGGCAGCAAGAATCAAGGAGAGGATGTCTTAAGCTTTGCTTTAGCCTATGACATGATCGTAGCTAACACATTCAGAAAGAGAGAATCCGATCTAGTGATTTTTAGTAGTGATCAACGCTCTAGCCAGATTGATTCCATCCTCTCGAGAAGAGAAGACATGCGTGCTTGCCTAGATTGTAAGGTGATACTTGGAGAGGGAGGGAGAGAGAGAGAGAGGGAGGGAGGGAGGGAGGGAGAGAGAGAGAGAGAGGTGGTGGAAGCTCAGGAGGGCTCTTGGGAGGAAGGTGATGCGAACAATATGTGGACGAAGGTAGCGACTTGCGTTTGGAAGGTGGCTTACGAGGAGTTTGGGGTGACCAGTGAAAGTAGAAGCAAAGCTAAATACCTGGTGGTGGAACTATGCTGTCCAGAAGGCTATTAAGGAAAAGAAAGGTTGTTTCAAATGCCGACACTTGGATATGTGTGCAGGCAACATAGAGAGTGGCAAAGAAGACCACGAAGTGAGTTGTGAGTGAAGCTAGGGATTGGGCGTATGAGGACCTCTACCAACATTTAAACACGAAGAAAGGCAAAAGGGACATCTATACGATGGTCAAGATCCGAGATAGGAAGACGAGGGGTGTCAACCAAGTCAAATGCATCGAGGACGGAGCAGATCGGCTTCTATTGAAGGACGAGGAGATCAAGCATAGATGGCGAGAGTACTTTGACAAACTATTCAACGGAGAGAATGAGAGCTCACCATTAAGCTTGACAACTCCGTTCTTGATATCAACATATGTTTTGTGCGACGAATGCAGGAGTTTGAGATCAGGGAGGCTTTAAAAAGGATGAAAGGAGACAAGGCGATGGGCCCTATTTGTATCCCCATTGAGGTGTGGAGAGGCGTGGGAGACATCGATATTATGGCTAACTAAGCTTTTCAATCTCATTTTGGTGAGACAAGATGTTTGAAGAATGAAGGCGGAGTATATTATTCGTACCAATCTTCAACAACAATGGGGTTGTTCAAAGTTGTACAAATACCGTGGAATTAAGTTGATGAGCCATACAATGAAGCTATGGGAGAGACTCATTGAGCACCGCTTAAGAAGAATGACACGCGTGACCAAACATCATTTTGGTTTCATGCTTGGGAGGTCGGCCATGGGAGCCATTTTCTTGGTACAACAACTTATGGGGAGATACATGGAGCAAAAGAAGGACCTGCACATGGTGTTCATTGACTTGGAAAAGGCCTACGATAAGATGCCGCGGAATGTCATGTGGTGGGCCTTGGAGATACACAAAGTCCCAACAAAATACATTACCCTCATCAAAGACATGTATGATAATGTCGTGACAAGTGTTCGAACAAATGATGGCGATATTAACCACAGCAAGGGTCAACTTTGAGCCCTTGTCTTTTCTGCTTTGGTGATGTATGAGGTCACAAGGGATATACAAGGAGATATCCAATGGCGTGTGCTCTTTGCGGATAAATGTGGTGCTAGTCGGTGATAGTCAGACCTAGTTTAATAGAAAATTAGAGCCGTCGAGACAAACTTTGGAATCAAAAGATTTTAGGCTTAGTAGAACTAAAACTGAGTACACAAGGTGCGGTTTCAGTATTACTAGGCACGTGGAGAAGGAGGTTAGCCTTGGTGGGCAGGCGGTACCTCAGAAGGATACCTTTCGATATTTGGGGTCAATGGTGCAGAAGGATGGTGATATCGCTGAAGATGTGAGCCATCGAATCAAAGCTTGATCGATGAAGTGGTGCCAAGTTTCTTGTGTTCTTTGTGACAAGATAGTGCCACAAAAGCTAAAAGCTAGGTAGGATGGCGATTCGACCTATGATGTTGCATGGCACAGAATGTTGGCCAACTAAAATGGCGACATGTCCAACAGTTGAGTGTAGCAGAGATGCACACACTGAGATGGATATGTGGCCACACAAGAAAGGATTGGGTCCAGAATGATGATATACGTGATAGAGTTGGGGTATCTCAGATTGAAGAGAATTTTGTCCAATATCGTCTGAGATGGTTTGGGCATATACAACACAGGTATCCAGAAGCACCAATGCTTAGCGAACAGATGAAGCGCACTAATAATGTCAAGAGAGGTCGGGGTAGACCAAACTTGACATGGGAGGGTCCGTAAGAGAGATCTGAAGGACTTGAATATCACCAAAGAACTAGCGATAGACATAGGTGGGTGGATGTTAGCTATCCACGAGCTAGAACCATGACTTGGTTTTGAGATCTTATGGGTTTCAACTCTAGCCTACCCCAACTTGTTTGGGACTGAAAGGCTTTGTTGTGGTTATTGTTGTTGTTGGTAGTGGTACTAGGCTGCTACTTGCCATTGGACAAGAGGTGTTTTGTGCTTTTAATCTTGAACGCTGATTCTGTTTTCATTGAAAAGTCTGATAATTTCAAAATATTTACCAGTAATATTTATGTTTTTATTGTTATTGATCAGTCAAGTAATAGGAACTTAAAATATCATAGAAGATATGGAAGGCCTATACATGTCAGGAAAATAGTAAATTTTGGAAGTCCAAAATAAAACTAAAGGTTTGAGAACAAAGTTGCCTGCACTCATAACTGGTTGGTTGGGAATATAGTGCAATCAGATGGCCTCTCTGTTGCAAACTTATGGTACCGTATACCCTAGTTCCGAACTAGTATCTAATTTATTCAATGCTTTTAGCGTTGGTGTAGTCCAACAAATAAATTTTAGGCCCTCTTTGATTCGTAGGATTCTCAAAACGCAGGAATAGGAAAAATAAAGGATTGAAGTGGCATTGCCCACTTGAATCCCATAGGATTAGCACAGAGTGTTTGATGCCATAGGAAAACCAAAGGAAGTGAAAAAGGGGTGGGATAGATTTCCAATGAAATCTAGTACACATGATTCCATAGGAAAAATTCCTATAGGATTCAATCCTATGAATCAAACGACCAATGTAGGAAAAAACCCTAAGGGTTCTAACCCTTTAAAAATCCCATGGAATTCCTTTGAATCGAAGGAGCCCTTATTAAAAACTCATAATGTGTTATCTTGTGGTATGAGTGGTTCCTATTTAGTTCTGCTTACATTCTTAATGCTCTTGTTTCATGTTTATTCTGCTTCGTTTTTTAAACAATTTATTCTACTTCGTTTTGTGTAGTAGCGATGGTTATTTCACAGCGCCCTCTGAATTTGATCCTGCTGAACTCATGAAACTGAATGTAAGATTTGTATTTTTGAGTTAGTAGTACTTCCCACATACAGTTTCTTAAGCTGGTTTCTTGCTTGCGTAGTTCTGTTCAAAGAATAATCACAACAAATCTTCAAGTTCAACTGGTAATTGGGTACAATGCCGTGAGGTCTTGAGCACAGGAGATCCTAACAAGCCAGTAATCTGTGGCAAGTGGAGAAGGTAAAGAACTTTGCAGTTTTTTATTTGATAGGTATTTCTATTAACTTTGATTTTATAACAGCTCAATTACTGGAAATATCAAATTTCAAATTGCCATGTCAGCCTCTGTCATCTGAGTTACTGCATGCTTGTTACTTATGATTCGCTTTTGTACAAATTCCCTAAACATTCTTTAGTGTGTAGAAGCTACAAGCCTAGAACTACCTTTTCCATACTACCTCAAGGTTGTTTGTATTGGTTCAACTGTTTGCTAGATATATAGCCGCTCATCTGAACTATAAACTAGCCACACTTGCTTGATTTCTAGTCTGAAGCAGGCACGTAGCACAAAAAGAGACATGTTTAAACTTATGATTTTGACCCGACATACGTTTTTGCTAGAAATAGACCTTAAGATCTGAACCCCACATAAGTTATATTAGAAATAGACGTTGGGTCTTCCACAAGAATTACGAGTTGACGAGTCGAGCCGAGGTTGAGACTCATAGACTAATCGTGACTACTCTAGACTACTGCCGGACTAGTCGACATGGTACTGTAGTACTCAACTTACAGTACTCAGCTACTAATGCATAGTATGTAGCATACATTGTATAGTACCGTACAGCATACAGTAAAAATTGAATGCATGGGAAGTGAATGAAGAACCCAAGGCTGGGCCAATTGTAATATCCAATGGCCAGGGCCACAGGGGAGAAATCAAACCCAAGAAGGGAAGGAGTGAAGGGAGAAATTACTTGCTACAACATCAGAGGAGTGCTTGCTTGCCATCGCCGACGCATCCAGGAGGAACACAGCAGCAGAGGGGCGGATCCAGGGGAGGAGCATAACAGTAGGGGCGGATCCAGCAGAGGAAGAGGAGCAGAATGCTCCTGGCCACCACCGCCGGCAATGGCGAGTCAGTGGGTGGCGGCGGCGGCCCTGTCCCAGGTGAGGCGGGCAGGCGGCTCGTTGTGGAGGAGCCTGAAAGGCTAGGGTTGCAATTTTTCCCTTCCGTGGGCTGCTCACTTATCCCGTCAAATTCAGTCGGTCGACTCAAACACGCCGACTAGTCGCTCCACTTCCCGACTCACAGAGCTAGTCCACACGAAGAACCTAGTCGACAATCAGATTGAGACTACTAGACTAGTCGCGCGACTAGTCAAGATTAGTTGTTAGACTCATAATGCTTGGTCTTCCAAGAACATTGCAGAAAGTAGACGATGGCGAGCTATGTTTGATGACAGGTTTTGGCAGAAGTCTACATCTCAGGAGCCATTGCTGGGGTGTTCCTCCCTGTTGTATTAAATCAAGATACACGAAAAGACGAAGTTTGCCGAGGTTCTGACCACCTGCCACGGCTGGTCTAGCTGCCCCTGCCATGCGTGGCCTGTCCGTCCCTCTTGCGATCTTCTGTTTAAACCTACCTATTTTGTCTATTCTGTTTTGGTTACCCTGTGAAGGGGAGCCTTGGCGCAGTGGTAAAGCTGCTGCCTTGTGACCATGAGGTCACGGGTTCAAGTCCTGGAAACAGCCTCTTACAGAAATGTCGGGAAAGGCTGCGTACTATAGACCCAAAGTGGTCGGACCCTGCGCAAGCGGGAGCTACATGCACCGGGCTGCCCCCCTTGTTTTGGTTACCCTGTGGTGCCTTTATATATTTGGCCCAGGTTACAATTGTTTGACTACAACACCTAACTCCTCGCTTATACCCCATAAACATATTTGATACAAATCTAACAAGTTTCGCTTTCCCTTGTTCATATCTTACGTATCTTTGTAGATATCTCTTACAATTTTATCATTGGGATCTCCTGTAGGGCACCCCTATATGTTGGTCAGTCAGATGATTGGGATTGTTTTTGTTGTCTTCTCTGGGATCCAGCTCATGCTGATTGTGCTGTTCCACAGGTAATTATTTCTTGATTTTTTTAAGTAATGTATAGCATCTTAGCGAACTTAGTACTTAGTGGCAGCTACAGTAATGTAATTTCTATGGTGTTACTACGCAATATTGTCTTAGTTCCTAGGATATATAAGAAATTACAAACATATGTACAAACGAATATTCTTTATTTCTGTAGTTAAGAAGTCATTGGTCACCAATTCTAGACTTGTATAGTGTTATCGAGAGTTCAAGGTGTAATTATTTTGCATGTAAGGTCCAAAATATCATCAACCTGTTGTATGTAACGGATATTTGCA